CTAATAGAAAAGAAGCCACACGAAGCATACGCTTCCTAGAAGATTTAGAAGAATTAGAGAGAAGGAGGGTGTCGTAACAGTTTTATATACAGTTCGAACAATATCAAAGCGGTAAAAAGCGGCATTTAACACATTAGGCTCAAACATGTAATATCAGACAATGTACAAGAAATCCAAGTATAACAGTATTCTAAGCTCGAATTTTGAACCCTGAACCAGAGATTCTGGGTTCGATCCCCAGCAGAGTCGCCAGAGCTGTCACACCTCCTTTTTCCCGAGGGATAGGGAGTTTTTCCAATTAAAGTGACATTATTCAAAATGAGATTATTTATTTAATTAGAGTTTCCACTTGGAATAATTATTATGGTGTCCCAAGTCTCCGGTTTATTTTAAGATCCCAAATCGAGGAAATTGACTCTATTTTTTACGGTCCGCGAACAGAGAACATCGGGTAAGGAATTCTGTATTCCGAAAGAAGGTGTGAGGTACTCCCGAGTTTCGTGATTTTATCACGGTCACTCAACTATTAATTATTGGCCTAATTATCTGATTTATTACATGTTTAAAACCGGTTGTGCATTTTTAACTTTCTAACTACTTTTAATTAATCAATTAACCACATTTAGTATTTATGGAATTTATTTGAACAAGTCACAATGTTGCACACTCGTTGTTTTTTTTGTACATATGCGAATCGCGTCACGTGAAACGCAGCCGTGATTCACAACCTGTTTATTTTTATTATTATTTGAAGTTATGATCGAGTCACGTGAAACGCACACTCTAATTTGAATTATGTATCATGAATATGCCACGGGAACCGTACCCATAGTCACAATGCTTTATTTAAACGCGCCTAAAGCAAACTACAGAACCATGAGAAATACCTAAACAATAGATGAATCTGCTGAAAGCCAAATTAAGGCTAAGAGAAAGTGAAGAAAACCAGCAGAACTCTGAACAGCAGCAATACAGTGAATTTCCTTCAACTCCCAAAGCTATAAAATCCAGATTTTGCAACAAAACAGTCTTGAATCTTCTTTTCTTTTTTAGTCTTTCTGTATCTAGATTGAATTCTTTTTTTTTTGAGTGTTTTCTTTGATAGCAATCCAGAGAAATTAACGTGTGTGTGTGAGGGAGTGTGAGGTCTCTTTTATAGAGTGTAGGAGTGTGCTCTTGTATGAGGGAGAGAGAGAGTGTGAATATTCTGCTAGCTCCCTAAAGATCATGGAATTGGCATCTTTTGTAACTGAATTGGACAACTGTCCATTTTTCAGATATTTTTCCCTTACATTCCAAACCTTTAAACTTTTGAAACTTTAACTTTTTACCCTAAGTTTTAAACAAATTCCCCCATTTTAATGTATTTCCAAATCTTTTATCCTATTTTTAAAACCTTTTAAACAACAAACAAACAGATTCCCTTATTTTCTATTTCTTTTAGACCCCTAAATTTTCAATTACTATACATAACCATACAAAGAGAAGTATACTAATCTTAAACAACACACTAATGCGAAAAAAACCTAGCATTCAACAATTAATTGGTTAAACTTGAAGCAATTGAGCTAATTAACATAATCAGACTAATTAATCATGCAAATAACTAATAAACTAAACAAAGAAACATTAAAACAGTAGCTAATCCTAAATGCAAAAACACTAATTTAAGCTAACAAGAAAATAGACGATTACCCTGAAGAGTGTGGAAATTTGGAACTTCGACTGGTTAGCCGGACTCCGGTGTCTTCGACACGAACTCAAATTTTATTGAGAACAATCGATTAACGTGATTTTCAGTTTGAATCGAACCTTGAAGCTTGTAAAAGCTTGAAAAGGGCAAGACTAGGGTTTCTGGGGGTTTTAGATATGGAATTGGGTTAATTTGGGTGTATTTTGGAGGCTAAAAGTAAGAGATTAGGAGTGAGGGTAAGTTGGGGATTTTGGAGTGAAGATTTGGGGTTGTTTGGTGGTGTTAAGGTGGCGCCGCTGGCGAAGGAACTGGAGGGCTTAGGGGCGGCCAGGGTTTGAAGGGATTGTGGAAGATGAAGAAATGGGATGGATCTTAGGGTATTCGGGGTTGGTTGGGACACTTACATGGGTGGAGTTGGGGAGTTTCGGTCCGTAGGATCAATATCAATGGAGGGCTGGGATTAAGTTGATTGAAACGGCGTCGTTTCAATTTAATGAAGGACTGGACCGATTGGGAGAGTTGGGCTAGGGTGGATTTGGAGAAATATTAGGCTTGAAATCAAAGCTCCGTCCAATTTTAGCTCTAACAGATCTTCCCTCTCCTTTCCTTCTTCATTAGACTTTTTTTGCAAAATTAACCGCCTTTAAATAACACCTAAAATGAATATATTTTTGACAAAATTTAAAATATTGATGCCTATTCCATTTACCATTTAAACTAATTAACTACTAAATAATGCAAGGAAGATGCAAAATAAAAATGACTAATGTATCCTTGTATTTTAATCAAATATCTATGTAATTATGCCTTTAAAACTTTCAAATAGAAACCCAAAAATGGAAAAATGAGAAAAAATATTTTTGATGGTTTTAGAATATTTCCAATGATGCAAATGAATTACTCATATGATAAAAATGCAATTAAACACACAAATAAAATTCCTAAATTTCTACACAACAATTAAAATTATTTTGAATATTTTTAGGAGTAATTTTATATATGGGGCAAAAATTACGTGCGCACAGCTGCCTCTCTTTGCTCGGAAACATGAAGAGTTTTTGGGCAAAGATAAAGTGAGCAATTACGAGCAATTTTTGCCCGCTTGGCTCTCTATGGGAAGCATTTTGAAAAGGTTTGACCAAACCTTGCTTCAGAGGTTGCCTACATATCCTTGGCTATAAAGGAATCATGTCAGTGTAGTTCTGGAAGTTTTGGTATCTGGGAGTATTCAGAAGCTATGATTTCACTGTTGTTGCTGTTGTTACTGCTTACTGAACTCCTTATTACACCAAAATCAAAATGAAAAAGAAAACTAAACAAGCCTATAAATTATGAGTTATAAGATTCCTATCTATACGTCTTCTGAAACTTGATCTTGAGTCTTGGTTGGTTCTTCATGCAGACTCAAATATGAATCTTGATTCTTGCTAGCTACAGGTGCCAGTTCATTCTTCTATGGCTTCTTCGGATCAAAACGGGACATGCAATGCTCGTGAATTCAGTCATGTCTTGAGCAATTCACATCTTTCATCTGCTCTGCATTTTGGATTCACTTCTTTTTTCTTTTCTTTTCTTTATTTTGGATCGAGACTTCTTCTTTTGGTCATATCAAACCCCGTGCCTCAAGATAAAACCTGCTCGGACACCAAAATAAACAAACAAACGAAATTTTTCTGCCCCAATTTTCACTAGGAAAAATATCGTGAGTTATTTGTAACAAAACTCTATACTACTTAGTTATCGAAAGCAATAAAAGGTCGGGATTGGTGTTCCCTGGGAAAACAGAGACTAGGGAGTGAAGACCCTATGTCTAAAATAAAGGCAACTAGGGAGTGGAGACCCTATGTTGAGAAAGAGACTAGAGAGTGGAGACCCTATGTCTAACATAAAATCAACTAGGGAGTGGAGACCCTATGTTGGAAAATGAAGCTAGGGATTGGAGTCCCTATACTACCATAATTATGAACTTTTTTTTAAGAGAATGAGTAAAATGCTGGAACAATTTGGAGAAGACTTTCTTTTTTGGAGTTGGTACTACTGCAGAGCTATTTTAGTCTCTGTGCGGTTTCTTTTTGGTTGCACCTGCTTCTTGCAAGGTTGCTTTTGGATTGCACTTGTTTCCTATTTTTCAGACAAAGAACAATTGTTAGTTTGAAACGGTGGTTGGATTTGCGGCCTTGAGTGTTTTCATCACTTGTTCTTGGCCAACTTATTTGATGATATATTCACTTGCAACTGGTTGTTTCCTGGATACCGATTGCAATTCTGGCCTCGGAGAACCTTTGGCTTTTCTAAACTTTGCCATAATTGTCGGTCACGTGGGACTTAACCTTTTCCAACTTTATTTTGCCTTTGTAGGCCTTTGAATTCTTTCTCCCGATTTTTAATTCATAGCATTGGGGAATCCTTGTCTTTTCAAATCTTGCCAAGATGGTTAGTCGCGTGGGACTCAACCTTTTCAACTTTATTTTTGCCCTTGTAAGCATTTTAATTGGATTTCCTTCTTCCAAGAGTTCTCGATTTTGAAGCATCAGCTGCCATGGCCAGTCGGGGTTGACTTGATGCCCCTGCCGAGGCTGGGTGCCTTTTTTGCGTATTAGCTTGTATCAAACGAGAGCCATGTTAATCAGTCTTACCATCCCTTTTTCATCTTAGTTTACGAACAGAGGTAGACTGAAAGGGATTCAAAGAAAAACAATAATGAAATGGACAATGAATTTATACAAGAGGTATCCCTTTCGGGGAAAGGAGAGAAGGACTTATCTGGAGTACAAGCGGACTTAGATGAACATGATGCCTCTTGGACTGGATGTCTGATCTGTGTAAACTGTCCTACTCTTAGAAATTCATCACGACTTTGCCTCGAAATCGAGAAACCTTGCCTAGGACCGTGTTGATACCAGTGGGTGTGAGGGTTCTCTTTTCGATCAGTGGAGCCCTTTGCGGGTTTTCACCAGCTAACCTCTCTCGTTTCTATTCTCACTGTAGCCTTATAGTGCTCTTTGCGAGTTTTCACTAACAAGACTCTCATTTTTGAATTTCTCTACTCACCATCGCCTTACGGTGCCCGTGATGGTTTTCACCAATAAGACTCTCTCATTTCATTTTTCTATTTCGATTGTATCAGATCCAAGTAACTGTATCCTCCAACTTTTGAACGTTCTTGATTGATTAGAAGGACTTGAAAGGATTTGGGTAATCATGATTTTGGATTGAATTACAACTTTAGAACCATTTGGCGAAACTGCCCATAGCAAACTGCGGCCATCCGCTTTTCATCAATCATAGTCAACTGTTCCAACCTGGTTTAAACCCATTTATCATCCTCGATCTTGGCTTTAACAATGATCCGAAGAGAAGGAATCTCAACTTCTGCATGTATTACGGCTTCAGTGCCATAAAATAATAAGTAGGGAGTGGCCCCAACTGATGTGCGCGCGGTCGTGCGATATCCCAATAATGCAAATGGCAACTTTTCATGCCATTGTGTGGAACCTCGAATCATTTTCCTGAGGATCTTTTTGATATTCTTGTTTGCAGCTTCAACATCGCCATTAGCATTGGGCCGATAAGGGGTATAATTAGGATGCGTAATTTTAAATTGTTCGCATACCTCCCTCATCAAATGGATATTTAAGTTTGCAGCATTTTCTGTAATGATAGTTTTAGGAATACCGAAACTACAAATAATGTTGGAATGCACGAAGTCCACCACTACTTTCTTGGTGATGGCATTGAAAGAGATTGCTTTGACCCACTTTGTGAAATAATCAATGGAAACCAAGATGAATTTGTGCCCATTTGAAGCTTTCGGCTCGTTTGGCCCAATTACATCCATGCCCCAGGCAACAAACGGCCAAGGTGCTTACATGATGTAACTCTGGCGGCGGTGCATGAATCAGGTCAGCGTGTATCTGGCACTGATGGAACTTCCGGACGAAACTGAAATAATCCTTTTCCATGGTCATCCAGTAATAACCCGCCGGACGATTTTATTTGAAAGGACATAACCGTTAATGTGAGGCCCACATACCCCCAAATGCAGTTCGTTCATGATATGTTCAGCTTCTCGGGAGTCTACGCACCTCAAAAGATTCAGATCTGGAGTTCTTTTGTATAGGACTTCTCCACTCAAAAAGAAACTGCTGGTAAGCCTTCTGATAGCTCTCTTTTGATCTCCACTGGCCTGCTCGGGATATTCTTTTGTTTTCAAAAACCTTTTGATATCATGATACCATGGCTGAACATCTGGCTCCATTTTAATTGCATTACAATACCCATGCCTTTATCGAATTAGGATTTCCAATGGGTCAATATGGATATTACCCGGGTACAGCAGCATTGAGGCCAAAGTAGCTAGTGCATCAGCTAGCTCATTGTGGAATCGAGGAATATACCTGAACTCGACGGACTTGAACCATTTGCTGAGATCTTCCACGTGTTGCCTTTATGGAATGAGTTTGATGTCTCGAGTTTCCCATTCAACTTGGGCTTGCCAAATGATTAAATCAGAATCCCCCATGATTAATAATTCCTCTACATCCAGATCGACTGCCATATTCATGCCCATAATGCAGGCTTCATATGCGCCGGTGTTGTTTGTACAGAACAACCAAAGCCAGGCTGTGGCTGGATAATGCTGACCTGTAAGGGAAATCCATATTGCTCCGATCCTGACACCTTTTGCATTTACGGCTCCATCAAAGAACATTTTCCAAGCATTGGTGTTCTCTGGAACTACTTCAACTGAATTTACTTCCTCTTCTGGAAAGTGCTTAGGGGTTGGTATTCATCATCGACCGGGTTCTCATCTAGATGATCCGCCAAGGCTTGGGATTTCATCGGTGTGCGAGTGACATAGACAATGTCAAACTCGGTGAGCAGGATCTGCCATTTTTCTAACCTTATAGTGGGCATTGGCTTCTGCAATATGTACTTCAAAGGATCCATCTTGGTTATAAGATATGTTGTGTAAGCCAGCAGATAATGTCTGAGCTTCTGGGCGAACCAAGTTAGGGCGCAACAAATTCTTTCTAACAAAGTGTATTTAGCTTGATAACTGGTGAACTTCTTGCTCAGATAATATATGGCTTGCTCTCTCTTCCCAGTCACATCATGTTTCCCCAGGACACAACCGAAAGAATTTTCCAAGACTGTCAGTTACAAAAATAAAGGTCTTCCTGGATCGAGTGGAACCAACACCGGCGGATTTGACAGATATTGTTTGATTTTATCAAAAGCTTCTTGACACTCATCTGTCCATCTGATTGCCACGTCTTTCTTTAACAGCTTAAATATGGGCTCACATGTGGTAGTAAGCTGAGCAATGAATCTGCTGATGTAATTCAATCTTCCTAGCAGACTTATGACCTCTTTCTTGCTCTTCAGAGGTGGCAAATCCCGAATAGACTTTATCTTTGTTGGATCTAACTCGATACCCCTTAGACTGACCATAAACCCCAGAAGTTTTCCAGACGGAACTTCAAATGCACATTTAGCTGGGTGCAATTTCAAGTCATTCCTGCGAAAACGCTCAAAGAACTTCTTCAGATCTCACACATGGTCTTCTTGCGTTCTGAATTTAATGATCACATCATCCACATACACCTCAATTTCTTGGTGCATCATGTCATGGAAGATAGCAGTCATTGCTCTCATGTAGGTTGCCCCGGGATTATTTCAGACCAAATGGCATGACCCTGTAACAGTAAGTTCCCCAAGGTGTGGTGAAAGCCGTCTTTTCTGCGTCTTCTTCATTAATCAGAACCTGGTGGTACCCATCATAACAATCCACGAAAGACTGTATCTCATGTTTAGCACAGTTATCAACAAGAATGTGGATGCTTGGCAATGGAAAGTTGTCCTTGGGGCTTGCTTTGTTCAAATCCCGGTAATCAACACGCACTCGGGTTTTTCCATCTTTCTTCGACACTGGAACCATATTAGCCAACCACATGGTGTATCGGACCACTCGAATTACACCGGCTTTCAGTTGTTTGGTCACTTCTTCCTTGATCTTATCACTGATATTTGTTTTGAACTTTCTAGGTTTCTCTTGGACGGGTGGATAACTGGGATTAGTTGGCAATTTATGTGCCACCAAATCAACGCTCATCCATGGCATATCATCATAGGACCATGCAAACACGTCTTTGAATTAAAACAAAAGTTGGATCAATGCATCTCTAGTTCTTTCATCCGCGTGAATGCTTATCATGGTTTCTCAGACCTCTTCTGGACTGCCTATGTTAACTGGCTTGGTTTCATTTAAGTTTGGCTTAGGCTTATTCTCAAATTATTTTAGTTCTCGATTTATTTCCCTAAAAGCCTCATCTTCATCATATTCTGATTCTTGATTCATTATTTCAAAGTTAGACAGCGTTTAAGGATCTGGGCATGAAGTCCGCAAGCATGTCATATTTTTTAAATCTGCGTTATTAGAACTGAAAAGAAATATATAAGAAAAATACAATAAAAAATAGCAAAAATCAGAATAAAGAAAAAGAAAAATCTATGGATGATGAAATATTGATTCCATTTTATTGAACTGAAGATAAGAGGGTTTACATCAAAATCAAAAGACAATAAAGTAAAAACATTGGAGTTACACCCTGGAATAACTCGTAATTTAGAAGAGATGGAAAGAATGGACTACCGGGACTCCCGTCTGACAAGGAATGAGTAGCTTTCTGCTACACCCCATATTTATGTCCGTGAGAGTACATCATAAGTCAATTGATATAAGCTCAGAAATGAGATCGTCTTTGGAAGTACATAAAGTAAGTTAATTATGTTACCTCGGAGGTTACAAATCTTTAAGATCATTGATAACAAGTACCAAGAGGGTTGAAAGGTTTAGAAGCTAAACAAGATGAAGAAAATAAGTTTCGTCGAATATCGACAAGTTGGGAATGTTGTAACATGTACTTTTGTGGTGATAGTAGGGTTAGTAACGTGATAAGTAGGTTGTGTTATGAGTTATTTTAGGCTTATTATAGTTGTGTGTTACGTTTTAAAGTCAAGCGAGTTGTGGAACAAAAGTTGGCAAAGGTCATCACAAGTTACATTCATAAATGTGCTGAAAATTAAGTCAAATGTAGCGGAGCTTCTCTCAAAATATCCTTGGAATTATAGGATGATACACATATCAAATTGAATATCTATGGGTCTAGTTTCTATCTCATTAAACCTTTCATCAATACAACATTAGAGTAGAGATATATTAGCAGTTTCGCGAGACTACGCAGACTGCATATGTGACAAGTAGGTGTGTCACCAAAGCTTTTTGAGCAATACATTTCGTGTGTTATATGAGGTCTTTTAGGGACATATTATATACCAAATTGAAGTTCTTGGAATTTAGTTCCGAAAAAACTCTCTTAACCATTCGTTCATACGACATCTAAATAAAAAGATATAAGCGTCGGAAGAAGGGCCAATGCTAGGTTGCCAAGCTAGCACCTCACTTTTCAAAAGTTGATATATAGGTCTTAAGTCGTCTCTTTCTTCATTTTTACATAGAACCCGACCACAGAACACCTATAAAACCTGTACTTGAGCTCTCTAATAGGGTTTCAAAGAAGATTAACATTCCGGGTATGAAAGAGAAGCGATAACATTAGAACGATCCCTACGATGTAAGTATCATTATACAGCCTCTCTTTTGCTTTGTAGTTTGAGTTTCGGAAGGTACTTCTTAGTTAAGAAAACATCTAATTTCTGCATTTAAGTGTTTAAATATCAAGTAAGGTTGATAAATTAGTTTTCTAATAGTTAGAACTCACGGGATGGTGATCGGAAGCCGTGAGTTCGATATATTCCAGTTTTAGTGGACTGTTTTGTAGTCCACTCGTGTTGGCCTATTGTGCTGCTGATTTATGGAGTTTTGAAGGATAAAAGGGCATGGAGAAATGCCACATGTGTTAGGGTAGTAGGTTGGTCGCTCGTCGTTGCAGTTTCAAGCTAATTGATAACTTGTTGATTGGGTGTGTTATGGTATATTTGTGGTGTTTGTAGTATTGAAGGTCCCAAATTGTAATAAGGTTGATTTTGAGGTCCTGATTGTATTGTGGTTGTATCTTGCCTATAGTAGGCTTGAGGGACCAGTAAATTCAGGGGAAATGATGCTCGTTTTATATTAGAATCGAGTTATCATTTGAGATACGTGATATACTAGCGCCATCTAAGTTGTACATGTATGTCTTTGTTATAGGGTTGGCGCGCTAGTTGTTATAAGCTAGTTGTTGAGTTGCATTGACGACTTGAGGTATGTTAAGGCTATCCCTTCTTTCCTTTTGGCAAGATCCATATGATACAACAAAACGAGCAAGCACACAACTTTCATAAATGATTCTATTCTTAGAAGTACTAGGGTTGCCTATGTTCTTGATTCCCCGTATGTCCTATTATCATATCGTTTGTTCATGGGTCTCATGACATTCCGAGAGATATTATTGACTTACTTCATTATGCATTGCATTCATTTATACATGTATATTGACCCATGACCAGATGGCGTTATATACGCGTATAGTATATGTATATGGGGTATGGGGAAAGGTTATGTCGTTATATACGCACCACCACCTGATCAGCTAGTATAAGTTGATGATTTTCCCCACAGAGGCCGAGATGATATGATGGGATGCCCTCAAAAGCTTGATGATGTTATGTACGCATATACATATGCATGACCTGACATTTATATGCATATGCATGAAATTCTAAACGTTTCATGATTCACAGAGATATTAGACTTACAGGTTGAGTTCTTTACTCCATGGTTCTTTCATGTCTTTTATGCACTGCTTTCATGCCTTACATATTCGGTAATTTATT